TAGTGAAAGTGTGTACAAAGGGTCCATTGCAGTGTTTGGACGGACGCCAAATACAATGGATATGGAACTGGCGTACGCAAACAACCTTCGTAGTGCAGCGGCCAACACGACCAATTTCACAGCGGACGAGAGGCAGCAAATGGAAGCCGAGGCTGCCCGAGTGGAGGCTTTACAGATCGCTGGAATGGCAACAGGTGAGAAAGTATCAGTATACAAAGGACCCAGTACGAAACTTGCAACTCTATTGCTCACACTTGTCATCATCCCGCACGCAGAATATCTTGATTTCGCTTTTGATGGCAAATGGTACAGGAAAACACCGTGGTCTGAACTTCCCGCCAAAGCAAAGGACGCAGCCCATGCCTTGAACTGGGAAGTTAATGATGATGATGAGACAGCAGCTGCAGCAGTAGGCTCCTGCTGGTATCCCATGGAAACTCGAACGTGGGAGGATCTGTCCATAGAACAATGTAATGGTGCACGAACTCTTGGGTTCAATCGACACTCTTGGAAAGACATGTTCAGCGGATACTTGTACATTGCACAAGATTGGGAATCCCTCTCCGACGAAATCCAAGCATCCTGTCGAGTTTTAGGTTGGTCGGAAGAGAAGTGGGGTAAAACAATTTTGGTGAAGGAAGAGTCCCGGCAATGGGGCGCATTATCCTTGAATGAGAAAGAAGCTGCCAGGGCACTAAATTTCGAACTGCGCTCCTGGAACACGATGTTTGCATCAGATGCATTCGAAAACAATGATGACGGCGATTACTAAGGAAGCTTAAGGAAATAGTTGCTCTATTGCATGTTCTATCGCGGTGCTGTGTTACCTCTTTTTACTCCACTCTCCTTTTCACTGGTAGACGTGATATCGTACAAATGCCAGACCAGACGTCAAATAATCATCACGAATGAAGAAAATAAATAATCAGTGCAACAACCACAAAAACAAACAATCGTCAAACCAAGCACTTCTTTGGATTACTTGTACTAGCAACTACAACAACTAGAGCTACAATAATAAATCATGGTGTATTACTTCACATCACTCTGCGGCGAGTTCATGATTTACATGGGAAAGGACAAATATGAAAACGACGAGCTGATCAAATACGGGCTCCCCGAAGATGTTTGGTTTCACGTCGACAATCTATCATCCGCACACGTCTACCTGCGTATGAAACCAGGAATGTCAATGGATGATATATCAGACGATCTCATAGAGCAATGCTCTTCTCTATGCAAGGCCAATAGTATTGCAGGATGCAAGGTATGCAATGATATGATCTGTTTTATTGGTCACTTATTTGCTATTTTCAGGAGTGATCAACTTGTGTTCATTCTTTCTTTTTACTTTTTCCTCGCTGGATCTCACCTCCACCACTATATTTACAATCGTATCCCAATTCTTGTTATACAATTCTTCAAATCCATAATGACAGAAACCTTCCGTTCATATTGTGTACACGAGATGGAAGAATCTGAAAAAGACAGCCGGGATGGTCGAGGGGCAAGTCACGTATCATCGTCCCGAGAATGTACGTCGAGTCAAGATAGAAAAGAATGTTCCCATTGTCAAGCAGTTGGAACGAACGCGGAAGGAACTGTTTCCTGATTTGGAAAAGGAGCAAGAACGGAGGGAAAAGGAAATTCAACGACAAAAAAAGAACGAATACAAGAAATTGGCTTCGGAAAAGAAAAAACAACAGGCGGAGGCCCAACGAGACAAGGAATTGCGATCTTATGATCGATTGTATGACGAAGCTTACATGACTAGAGCATCGGACCAACATGCTACAGTAGATGCAACTGCCGCGGAAGAATTTGAAGACGATTTCATGTAGACAACAGTGACACGACAGAGAAAGAGCAATAACGCTTATTGTGTGGAATGGTCTATTATGCTTTTAAAATAAATCTAATAGCAGAAGTGCCTTATATATAACTGTGTATGGCTTTGAACGGTAATCAGGCTTGATTCATTCGCCATACCATACTTCTTCCAGTATAGTTGATTTTAATCATTCATTCGTATAGTTGGGGGAATATTGATACAGCCAATATGCAAAAGCGACCATGATCAGTACAGAGCTCACTCTTTCTCTTCTTTCTTTCAGGAGACTGAAGCACGAGGACTATCTATTCGGCAGTCCTATTATTCCTAGCGATAGTGACATCATTCTTCTGGCTGTCCTGTCAACATTTCACTTCACGTATACCTCTTGGTGTATTCTGGAACTCGTTCTTGCAACAGTTTCCATGGCCGATCGTCAAAGACAGGCTCCTCCCTCACCTTTAGCATTCCCAAAACCTTTTCGTCCGATTCGCACCATGGCATGGTCGCCCAATCCGCCTGACCTCGCAAGACGTCGCCTCGGTTGCACCGATCCTTGTATTCCTCCAATGATTTCGAGATATAGTGGTACAGGGCAATGTCTCGGACTTCTTGTTTCTCATTGGATGGTCCTTGGACCACATTTCCCCGACTGTCACGAGACATGTACACGCTTTTGGTTTTGGTCAGTTTGTACTTGATCCAATGCGGATTTTTCATTTTGGGTGATACCTGCGACCGGACCATGGACTTGACGACAAAACTCGTTTCGTTGACCGCCCGATTTTGGAAGCGCAAGGTAACTGGTTTGTCTTCATACTTCAAATGTCCATTGTATCCAAAATTGATCCAATTGATGGCCAAACCATATTGATGGTCCGGCAAGGAATCCAAAAGGTCCATGATTTTGGGATACTTCTTCACATCCTTAATGACCACGAATTCGTCCACATCAAAAAAGGAAATCCAAGCATGACTCTTGGCGTCTCGAATCCTCCCCCAGCAATTCAAATACGCTTTGACTTGTTGCTTGACCCCAGGCCAATGGGTCACGTTGACAATGTCTTGAATGAATTGAGATTGTTTCCCAATCCAGTCCTGCACTTCAAAATCGTCGGAATTGTCATAGAGATAAATTTTTTCAAACCCAAGAGCGTGATGATACAAGATCCATTCTTCAAAATACTTCAACGTCGACTTTTGAATGACGCACATGGCTGCGCTGTGATGGATTTCCTCCTCCTCTTCCTTGTTGATAGTAGCAGCAGTAGTAGCAGCTGGTGATGTGACAGTCTCAATGGCCGTATTGTATTGATAGGGACTTGTGACATAGTTGGCAAAACCACTCGTGTAATCTTGTGTGGTATATCCAAGGACGTCTTTCATGGAGTAGATAAAAAAGAGACTCCCTAGAATGACAGCGGCATAGACTCCCATGACGCCCGACATTTTGTGGAGTCGTTCTTCTTGAGCCGCAGTAGTAGTAGTAGTAGTAGTAGTAGTAGTAGTAGTGCTGGCAGAAGCATTCTCTCGAGAAGGAGTGGATGCAGCTGATGCTTTTTCGTGTGAAGTAAGACGTGCTGCGGTGCTTTCCACATCCTTATTATTGTTGCTGCTTTCCTCCGACACCATGGTGATGATGATTGTATTGTATTGTATTTTATGTGGTATTAATATATAATAGCAATGCCGACATTTATGTTTTTTGAATGCTGACAAAAATACTGGAAAAATAAATGACGGATAATGAGTTGACACACGGGAGAGGTGAGAGACGGTCTGTCGGGTCGATCGAGTCGAATACATGACCGGCACGAATTGAAATACTAGCTAGTACTTGACTGCGAGTATACTGTTCCATTCCGATACGACCACAGTTTCAGTTCAAGCAGTCACCATCATACTGGTACCGATATATATATATATATATATCTTGTACACCATTCTTGACTTCATCAAACACAAAAAAGTTAATGTAAAAAGTAGTATTCATTTATGCATTCCCTACAGCATAATATTTTCCCCAAAATCCCGATTCATTCATTGACGCTAGGACTAGTATGTAAGCTTGTCATCATGATATCATCCTCGTCGTCATGATGATTGCTGTTATCGTCGTTATTCGTCGTCATCACCGAACCAACAACATCAGGAGAAGGAGTCCTCCTGCTCCCATTGACAAAAAGGGGGTACCAAAGATGGTAGTACTACCTGCCATCCTAGTACTAGATGCTCCGCTACTAGTACTAGCTCCAGCGCAACAGGCTGCTTGGATCTCGGGTGTCGACAGTGTCCCACAGGTATCGGACGATGTCACATGGGAGGCATACTCCAAGAGTTCCAAACAGGTCATGTTGCTGTACCCATCGGCAGCAGGTACTTGGGCAGCAGGATCCACCAATTCCATAATTTCATCGTTTGGGATACCACGACCACACAACTGACAATCATTCGGTGCCGGCATTCCGGGACATCCGCAGTAGGATTTGACGTCGACACTTTTCATGTCGTCATAGTAGACACCCTTCCAGGCATTGCACGATTTTTCACGGGGGTTCAACTGGAGTTTGCGATTGATTTCTCCACAGGTTTCTCCCTCCACTATCCGATCCTCGTACAAACCTAGATTGTCGTCGGAATTTCCGCACAAAAAGCAATTCGACTCTTCTTCTGGAGGACAACAAAAGATTTCGGCAAAGACCAAATGAGAACATTCTTCTGGGGGTACCATGTCAAAGCTGATTCTGTTGGGACAAGAAGAGCAGTATGTTAGTTTGCCAGTTGGTGGATGCTCGGATGGAGTCAATAATATGTAAAGAATAAGACCATGAAAAATTTATTCGTACCCGACTGATATGGTTTGACAGGTGAGACCATTTCCTGCTGCCTCCACGAGAGCATTCGGCCTCGTCACTCCATTGGGACAAAAGTTTTGAAAGCTACATTGACTCGCGGCATCAATGGAAGGGAGTAGTAGACTCAACAAGAGCGATGATACGCTCAGTACTACTTGTATCAGTTGAATCATGTTCATTATTTTGTGAATCAATCGTCTCGGTTTTTGTGTTTTTGTGATGGTCTACTACATGTACCGTCCGAAAGTGAGATATACTTACTGTATGGGGACGAAAGGCCATTGTGCGAAACCAGAAACCACTTGCGTACTTTTGATTGGTCCCTCAAATGTCCGACAATCGCGGTATGTCTGTTTTTGACGCCAGAAAAGCCACGGCGAAAGGGCTTAGAACGTATTTTGTTGATCGCTCCAAATGTCCCACGATCACAATAGGGCTATTTTTGCCTCTTTAACATATATATATATATATAAGTCTTCGTTGTGGTTCTCCTAAATATATGGTATCAAAATCAATAAGTGAGCCCTAAACCAAAAAAGGAGAACCATACCGAACTTGGTTTCTGTCCTGGATTTCGACGAGGAGGAGTGCGAAATGTTTCGGATGGTGGATGCGGATGGAGTTATTTTATGGTTGCGCGTCACAATCCAGTAGAGTGAGTGAGTGGTGAGTGAGTGAGTGAGTCAGTCGGTGCGTGCGGTGCGCTGACACACACCGTCGAAGGATGAGATGACACTACTACTGTAGTACCTACTCGTATATATAACATGACAAGAGTCCTCTTGTACCGGTACTTGCTTTCTCTCAGCTTTTATCGATCAATAACTGTCCAATCCTTCTCTATACAGCATGCATATTATGATAATCACGTCACCAACAACAACAGAATACCTGTAACATTCTCCTCATCTCTTCTTCTTCTTCTTCAAGCCTCCTCTGGTGCATCCGACGACAACAGCAACCAGAATGATGATAATGAAGATCATAATGATAATGATGATGATGGTGATATCTGCTGGCATCCTTGTTCCATCGAAATATCGAATCTTTCCCACCAATACCCGGTGACCTTGTGGCGCACGTTGACCTCCAGCGAACCTCGACGAGAATTTGCCTTGCAAGATGTGAGCCTGAAATTGGGACCACACGAATTCGTACTGTTATTGGGGGATTCCTCCTCTGGCAAATCGACGCTCTTGCGACTGATTCTCGGTCTGGAGGAACGAAAAATAGTACAACCCACTTTTGGAACCATACAGATTGCTGTTGTGGTTCCTCATTATTCCAAGGAGGAGGAGGAGGAGGAGGATGACGACGACAACGCTACAGAAATTTTACCGCCACCAGCAGCAGTACCCGTCCTGTTGGATCAGAAGCCAGTCTATTCCAATAATCGAGGATCACAGACAGTGCAAATGATACTACAAGAGAAACTGAAGAAAATGAATAAGGCATCCACCATCATCCAACATCACGACGAGAAATCAAGCCAAACGACCTTATTTCTAATAATAGAGCGGTTGTGTGAACTAATGGATCTTCCATTGACCAAGAAAGGTTCCGATCTATCACCATCGGAGGCCTATCGTTGTGCCATGACAGAGGCTAGTCTCGAAAGCATCTTGACGGGGAAAGCAGCAGCAGCAGCAGCAGCAGCAGTAAATGATGACGACGACCGCGACGAAACTAGCAAAACGATTTCATCATTTCCCGCTCCTATACTGTTACTCGACGAATGGTTGGACAAGGAAACCAGTACGGTGGTACAAAATGTCCAAACTTCCATTTTGAAATTGGTCCAAACATCTGGCGCCATTGTGGTATCCATTACACACAAACCCAACCTTTACAAACAATCTATAAAAGAAGAAGGAGAAGGAGGAGAAGAATCATCCAGTCACGTTAGATCCATTACTCTGTGTCGAGGAAAGGTTGTTGCTTGAGATTTGGTTGTTGTCCATATTATGGAATGGAATGCTGGAATGCTGGAACTACTTGTAGGCAACCAATGAATGAATGCATGAATGAATGAATCTATGAGTCTATTGGTCCATCATCCCTCTCTGTCAACTTTAGAAGACGAGAGAGTTTGCACTAGTAATATAGATCATGTAACATTATTATGAGTATCAGCAGCATGCTAATCATCTGGAAGTGTAATATTAATATTAATAATATAAAAGAACAAAAGCAAAAAACAGATGGTCCAAGCGGTCCAACCGGTCGAATTTTGGACCGCCCGCGCGTCGTGTCTTCTGTTTTGAAACTTGCCCACGATGCGAGACGATCTCGTCACCGTATACAGTCTTTACAGCCAAGATACATCCTGTACATTGTCATCCAGTCCATCTACTTCGTTGTACCAACAAACACTATCAAGCCACTTCTTTGGAGCTGTCTAGAAATGAGATAAATTGTTGCATTTGCTTTCTTCTTTTATATATTATATTCAAAACAGACGCACAAACTCACTCGCAATCATCACTCAAAATCAGAAAGGCTATACTTACGCCGCCGCTCATCGTCCAATTTTTTTTTTGGCACTAGATATATATATATATATAATTAGTGGTTATGAATGGCATCAACAACTACAGTAGGGGCTTCAATAACGCCAATCTTACTACAGATGGAGTTGGCGATGATGATAATAATGACGAAACGACGTTGAACGGTACTAATAATACTGCAAATACTGCGACTAATGAAAACAATGATGCAAATACTGCAAATGACAATATTGCAGTCGCGGCATTGCCCAGCAATGATGACAATGGTGGCAACAATGACAATGATGAT